GATGCTCTTAGGCTTTAGATCGTAAGGGATCCCGCTATTTTAGAAACTTTAATAGAATACAAAGAGAGTAACATGAAGAGAAACCACTTTCAAATAATACAAGTTCCAAATACAATGAGCAAAGTAATGAGCTAACAAAATCCTAATGTGGCTTAAACTCCCCACAGAATTGGTAATAATCCATCTGGCTACAAATAAGCCACAAATTAAGAGAAAAGATGAATGGCAATGACTTGATGCAGTCCTCAAAACAACTCAAAATAACACACATCAAAAAATAGAAACTCAACCCACTAAAAATAAAAGCATAAGTAATGAAGACGTTCACAAAAGTTAAGCATGCCTTACAATATAAAAAATAAGTCCACAAGACTGTCCATCTCTACTTGGCTGTCACTAAGAAACCGGAATTTCTGATCCCCGACAACTGTCAACAAGGACTCTCTCTATAGCAAAAGTATGCGGTAGACATCCTGCACGGCCGCTTCCACAAGTTTATAGTGCGCAACGCCAAAACAATACTATGGGTTCGCAAATTTTTGGAAAAAGAGAGATTATGGAATCGTTATCCCACGACGCTAATAACTGGAAAACCCAACAGACAGCAAGGATCAAATGCATCATAATAAGGCATGCACGGAAACCAACTGTTAGGACAATTTTAACGATATAATGACGTAGAGCATATGGGGGGCCATAAAACGGCATCTCCATAGCTCACTATACAGAAATACAATGGCGATAGACAATGTGACAACAATCTGAACTAAAAGCAGTCGCAAAGGGAAGCAAAAATATCATTGCGGTGATCCGAGGCAGAGAAGCATACCGTGTTCAGGGTAAAAAAAATCATGAAAAAGGATCGCGAAAGTCATAAGATCTCCGTTAACTTGATTTCAGGCAGGATTGTGGTGATTGGCGTCAGTCAGCGTCGGTGTTGTTGTTGTTGTTGAATATGGTGGCGTTAAAATGTGTGATGTTAGTAGAAATAAAATTGGTGGTGGTGATGGTGCCGTTAATGTTACCAGTGGTGTTGGAAGGAGGAGAAGGTTCATAGTTACCGCGCATTACTCCGCCTGGAGGTTGAAGTACTGCTTGGAATGTAGATGTTGCGATCAGAACAGCTACGACAAGTATCGTGTTTCGCATTTCAAGTGACATTTCTCTCTGCTCCTGAATGATTCGTCCGATTAGAGCTTGGAACCATTGACGCGGTGATTTCAAAAATTCTCCAAGGTCACTAACTACAGATGATCTTTTTAAAGCTCCTGCACGGCGTAAAGTTTCCTTGATTTCAGTTTTGGCCTGACCGTCGGGAAGTGTTTCTGCAATGCCAAGAGCAGCCTTTTTGTCCGTGTAGATCTCTTTCACTAATAACTTCACAATCTGCGTAAACGAAAAACGTACAAATCAATTATTTTATATTGGGAGTTGCTCATTGGCAGCATTCGTTAAAGATCAAATAATATCAAAAAGGTTAGAATTACAATATACATTTCATATATTCCATACACTTTTATATATGATATATTTTTTTATATATACGCCAATAGTTATCACCGACCATTGAATTTGAAGCTAACAATCTATCAACTACTACAATATTTATGGAACCAAAGAATAGATAGAAGCCTGCCTCAGGTTGTGAAGTGGAGACCGCAGTATGCAGCGCGGTGTTGCCTCCTTCGTCTGTCAAGCACAGCACCTCACCCCTATAGGTTTTTCGAAGCCATTCCAAGAGGACTTTAACAGCTTTAAGACTAGAGCTTTTCACAGCAATGTGCAATGCAGTCTCTTCATGGACCGTCACATCATTTATAGACGAAGGACAAACATGTAGAAATTCAGACAAAAGATCGTCTTGATCATCTGTTTTGGCTACAAAGTGCAGAGGAGTGAGACCCTCCCTTCCTTTGACACGGATGAGTTCACTGTCAAACTTGACGAGCCGTCTCACAGTCTCAGAATGCTTGTTTTGCAAAGCCAAGTGCAAGGGGCTTAGCCCTTCTGGATTCAACTTCTTGCCGAATGATGGCCTTAATGTCAGGATTTCTAAGGCGAAATTGGTTTGTCCAGCTGACGCGGCTACGTGCAGAGGAGTCTCCACAAAAAGTTCTTTGTTCATACCGTCCAAAATGTCCGGTTTCGACTTAATTCTTGCATACAAGTCATTGATATTTCCTGCTCGAGCGGCCTCCATCAAATGGGGATCCATTCTGTGCAATGATTTTCAACATTTTAAGTGACGAAAGAAAACTAGGAAAAAAACGTACACAGCTTTTTGTTTTAAGCAAGTTTTTTTTCATATGCGGTAAACTAGTAATGTGAGACTTACATTTTAAATAAATCTCAATCACGTAAATATCGTTTTGTATCTTATTAATGTTCTGTGTCTTTTTGTATACTTTCATCAATAAAGATTTTATTTGCCGATCAAAAATAAATAAATAAATATCATTTTGGATATTTTTTGAGAAATTTTTTTACATGTGTAATATTTCCGTGTAAATGTCAATTATTTGTGCTTTTCAATTTCTGCCCACAGAAAAAAGGTTCCGTCAAAAAAAAAAAAAATTAATTGGTATGCTTCAATTGAAAGAACTTTCTAACTCCCACGTATTCAAGACTAAACAGCAAAAATATCAAGAAAATATCTTATCAGAAATAAAAATTAAAATAAAATTGGTACAGATAAATCAAGTAACAAGAGTCATGATGAATTGCAGATGTTAGATTCAAGAGAGAGAAAAAAAAAATGCTAAATTAGATATATAAAGAAACTCACATGGTTCAGATTGTTTACTTCACAACCCAAGTGGATGCTCTGTGAACAAATTATGCAAGACACAACAGGAATTGGACCTAAGAGATTATTCGTTTCCGTATTTGGAGGGCATGTATTTATAGACCAAGCTTTTCTTTCTCCTGTTTAACTTCTTTATATATATATATATATGAAATGCCTCATATTTGTGGGTAATTAAGGAATTACTTGAAATAACTTAAATAAGTATATTTTTTAACTTTTTACGAAAATATACATAAAAAAAAAATAGAGAGATAATGTAATAAAAAAGATCAAAAGATAAATAAGTGCACCCCAAACAACTTCTAATAAGTAGTACTAAAGTATCATGTATCGTTTACGCATGGCTCTCAATGAATGACGTAAAGTAATTATCTAATGGGTTGGGCTTTCCTCCAATTCAAGATCTAGGCTAGTGGGTGATGTTCAAGTCCGTGAGATTCATCATGAGTCTCATTTTGATAATTTAAATCGTTCATTTTATAAGATCATTCATTTATATTATTCAGAAGAAAAAAAATTAGATCAATCAAATAACCGTAACATTCTTAGTTTATTACATTTGTCACCCAAAAAATAAATACATATCTATTTTCAAAATATACTAGCCGTCCACTTTTTGGAGACAAAAACGATAAATTGAATATATTATAATTATCAAATCGACATAATCTTTTTATGAGTAATATACCTTATAAAATGAATAATTTTAATAAAAAATAAGACTTAGATGAGGCTCACGAGTCTGAACAATATCTTCTCATCCAAACCTTTATCTAATCTTCGTGAAACGCCATGTTGGTGGTCCCTATCAGGGCTGATATAGGGTTGATATAAACCATCGCTACTACGTGATATAATACAGATCTCATATGTAAGACAAAATATGTACTTTTAATATTATATATTTATTAAATCATTAAATTTTACCATGCAATATGAGACATAAATCTCACTACGAGATACATGATATTTTTCTTTATTTCCAAATGATTTATTAAAGAAAAATGTTCTAGACCCCCTTTCCCCCTCACCCCCTTTGACCCCCTCTCAACATGATTGGCCAATTTTTGTTTTTTTTTTTTTTCTTTTTTTCCCTTCTCTTTCAATCACCAACCGCCACGTGTGTGTGTGGGGTGGTGGGGATGGTGATTGGAGGGGTCTCTATCAAAGCCCTTTATTAAATGATTAACTTTTAGACCATCTCCAATGTTGAATAAAAAATTTCATTAAATCCTAGTAAAAATTTGATGAAAAATTTAGTTTGATACTATTCACTCCAATGCTAAAATTAGAATTTTCAACAGATTTTTTCACATCTCCAGTTGTTCGAGAGAACGTCCAGACGGATGTCCTGGAGGTCGTCTAGACATGAACAAAAAAGCTGTTAAAGTTGCTTTTGGGTGGACATGATGAGCCAAGGTTCTCTCATTGCAGTCTCGTACTTGCGCTCGTCCTTGCAGGCCTTCGGGTCTACTTTTAAGCCCAATTTTAATAATTCAAACCATTCATATTTTATGATTTATTCAGTATATCATACTTGTAAAAAATCAAGTTGATCGGATATCAGAAAACATATGTTCGAAAAACTGTTTATTAATTTCTTTAAAAAATAGTTTTTAGTTCAATTTTTCGAACACATACTGATATCTGATTAACTTGATTTTTTACAGGTATGATATACTGAATAAATCATAAAATATGAACGGTTCGGATTATCAAAATTGGGCCTAAAAGTAGACCCGAAGGCCTGCAAGGACGGGCGCAAGTACAAGAGCCGCAAGGAGAGGATCCTCATTCGGACATGATGGTGGACATCCGGGAGGATGTCCAGCCCAATAGTGACAATTTAAATTTGATGAAAGATGAAAGGCTCCCTTCATTTGATGAAAATTTGATTTTCCCTCTATTTGATATGAATATGGTAAAAAGGTTGGAGCACCAAAATGAGATTTTTTTATTAAATTCAAATTTAATGAAATATCTAATACTGAATTGGAAATCATCTTAGTGATCAAAAGAAATAAAACAAAAAGAGATCTTTTGCCTCATGATCAGAGCCGGAATAACTCACATGGAGGAAGTCCGTTTGAGACGCAAAATATGTGCCTTTAGTATTAGATTCTTGTCAAAGATCAGAAAAAGTAAAATCTAAAATACAATAATTATTAAAAAAACAAAGAGAAGCAAGTATGCTTTCATTTCTTATGAAGAGATGCTTTGCTTTGCTTGTACATGCTCATAAATGGATGGATTTATTGTTCAAAAAAGGGTAAAAAGAAAAAATACATGAAAAAAAAAGTAATAATAATAATAAAGAAAAAAAGTGTTGCATCAATGCACCGAAAAAGAAAAAGAAAGTGATGATTCATGAATTTTTTAAAATATATTTCAGGATTCCATTACTTTAGTGAAATTATTAGATAATTTTTCAGATCAAATGATCAAATAATTCATAATTTTGAAACTATGGGCCTAGCACTAAATGGGCCACTCTGGGTTGAACATCACTTTTTTTAGCCCAACTTATTAGCCCAGATTAGGAGAACTGCAGGCCCACTGAGGAATCTCTCTCTCTCTCTCTCTCTCTCTCTCTACAGAGAAGCAATGGATATATATATATTGTTGGACAATCAATTCCACCTAAAATGGATATATATATGCTATATAAATGTTTGTATGTGTAACATTTGATGCATTGGAATTTTACTTTTGTGTGAAATGTAAAAGAAATGAATTTATTTTTGGTTTTGTTAAAAACACTATAAATTTGGATGATTGCTTCAGTGTATTACAGAAACAGTAGCTCAATTGATAATCAATGCATATTAGATTTGCAAGTGTGAATGCCTTCTCTTGATCTTGATACAAATTGGTATTAGGCACAACATTATGGTTGCCAAGTTATGGCTAAAGCCACTCACTAACCCATTGCTGATAACATAACCATCATATATATGATTTGATTGAGAATTGAAATTTTTATAGATCAAAGTGCAAATGATATTTTGATGAATTTCAAAAATTGAGATACATTGGTAGTATGGTAATGGATCAGTATAATACATTACCATTATGCCTCATTTGGTTGGTGTGATGGAAAATTAGGAGGAATGAGAAGGTTGAGGGATATAGTTAAATAATGGTATGACAGTAGAACATTTAGATTGTGGTGAACTAGGTTTTCATAGGAGTTACATCATGAACTTTTCAGATTGTGGAATTTTGGCGCTTCATATTATTTCTTATTCCCTATCCAAAGTTGTTAAAATGAAGACTCAAAACTCTGTTAGTATAACACTTGTTACCGGGTGTTGCATATTTGAAAATGTTGCCATCCCTTGTGCTTAATTGACTGCATTAGTTAGGAACTGACTTGCATCCTAACAGAAGCTCGTATAAACGCTAGTTATTCTTTATTTATGTTGAAGGTTAAACTCTACTCAAAGCATAATAGGAAAACCAACTGAACAGATTGAAGCAGACATAAGGCTCGCCAAGTACTTTAGTCCAAGTGAAGCTGTTGAATATGGCATTATTGACAAGGTACCTCTAGTCAAAACACTGAATTTATTTTTAACTGGCTTTCAGGTGAAAGAAGCACAACTTAATTAACCGTATCTAATATTAGACCATGATTCTGATAAATATTCAGGTAAAATAAAAGTTACTTTCTTGTCGTTGTGCCATAAATTATTTCACGTATAATTACTTTCATTTCATGCATGACGAAAAGATTCTTTCAAATAGATCAGCAGTAACAATCAGTAAACCCTTTTACCATCAATTAGTTGAGTCGAGACAAATATTCTTCCTTCCTGTCAACTCCTTTGTGGCGCGTATTGTTACCTTCGGACCACAAAATCTATACAAACTCATGCTACTGTTGTAGGATAGTTTATCCTTGAAAGTAAAAAATTTGGACCGAGAAAGGTTTTTTCTTCCCCTTTCCTTCAGTCCTCCTCCCACTTCTTTTTTCTTTCTTTTTTTTGTTGGAGCTGTGGTGCTCTCAAGTGTGTCTTGGACTGAATCTGATCTGTTCTGTATGTGTGAATCTGCTCTGTTCTGTTTGTGTCCTGCATCTGGGCTAAATCTGCTATGATTGGCAGTGCTGATGGGTGGAGTGTGTTGCTTTGGTTTGGGTTGTTACAGAGACCATTATGTTCTATTGGAGGGATTTAAGCCCACCCATCATGTGGCATGACCCTTAGAACCTTTTGAATTTAAATTCAAACCTATTTGGATGAGCCACTCAGGATATATATCTATCATATCATGATATGGATAGATGATATAGATATAAGATATTATCTCATTTAACCAATGGATAAATGAGATAAATATAATATATATCTGATATATGGTTATGGGTAACCAAGAGAGAAAACAACGTAGGTTTTGTTTTCTACCCATAAACTGACTCTCTCCCAAGAAACAACGATCAAGTCAATTGCACTGTGGTTTGTGTGGGTGATATTCACCATTGTAATATCACCCCACTGCTGGGATTGATTTATCAGACTCTGGAAGCACGTGATTTATCCACGAGGTTCTATCATCGTAAGGTATGATATGATTATTTTATCCGCTGCATAATTATTTTGTGTTTTGATTTACACTTCCCCTTTCCTTCAGTCCTCCTCCCACTTCTTTTTTCTTTCTTTTTTTTGTTGGAGCTGTGGTGCTCTCAAGTGTGTCTTGGACTGAATCTGATCTGTTCTGTATGTGTGAATCTGCTCTGTTCTGTTTGTGTCCTGCATCTGGGCTGAATCTGCTATGATTGGCAGTGCTGATGGGTGGAGTGTGTTGCTTTGGTTTGGGTTGTTACAGAGACCATTATGTTCTATTGGAGGGATTTAAGCCCAATGCTAATCTGTGGAATGCTGAATTGGTAGGTGATAATTGGAGGAGTCAAAGTACTGCTATGATTGGTCTGCTAAGTTGGTTGTGGTTATGCTTTGGTGTTTAGCTGGGAGTCATCCTAGCAGCTGCTAGTTATAGAGTGTGTCAATCAGTTTGAGGATGCATAGTCTTGGTGTTTGCTGATGGTGTGGGTATGCTGTACCCAACTGCACTTTTGGTGGCTTCTCCAACACACTCTGTGTCACACCCCA